GGGCTAGGGGCGGGGCTGCTGAGGAGTGGCTGGGCAGGAGAAGGCACGAGGGGTCCTTGGAGAGGGTGGGTGAGGGCGGCTTTCCTGGGAGCTGGCACTCCCTCTCCCAGGCCTGGCCCAGCGGGGACTCAGGATTTGGGGGAGACCTGAACTCGCTCCCCGCTGACTCAGGCCCTGCCGTCTCTCTCAGGAACGAGAAGTGCCATGACTACTACACCACGGAGTTCCTGTACAACCTGTACTCATCGGAGGGCAAGGGCGTCTTCGACTGCAGGACCAACGTCCTGGGCCACCTGCAGCAGGTGTGGGGCAGGGGTGAGGCTCTGAAAGGCTTGCCCCTCTTCCCTGCCACCATCTGTCCCCGGGCCCAGGGGTCCCAGGCCTCACAGGCACCCACGGGCACTCCCGGCAGGTCCTCGGGCATGTGTGCCCTTCCCCAGTGAGGGGACCGAGGCCCGTATCTGGGTGAGGTCTCATTCCAAGAAGGGCTGGGGCTGGGGCCAGGCCCGGGCCAATCCAGGACATTCACATGCTGAGCCCGGCCCCCACCCCTCCAGGCCTCCTGCGGCCACATCCGCCGAGCCCCTCACCTAGATCCTGGCATGCTCCCTGCCCTATGGTGGCCCTGCAGGAAGCCTGTGTCCTGGGGTTTTCTGAGCCAGAGAGGGGGAGTCAGGGTGGCTGGGGATGGGGCCCAAGGTGGGGCCACTGGCTGCCAATGCAGGAGCCCAGGGGTCACTTGACTTGGCCAGGGGCAGCCGACTGCCGGCCTCGGGAGGCAGCTTCTGGCCTGGACTTGGAGCTGGAGAGAGCAGGCAGAGTCCTCGATGTGGGAACAGATGGAAACTGTGCAGGGGTTGGAAGGAATGGGTGTTTAGAAGCTGCCTGGGAGGCTCCCCGTGGGGACCCTGTCTGCACTGGGGTTGGGCCTCCCCTCTCCTTGGCCCAGGCAGCCCAGGGCAGCTCCAGGAACCGGGCCTTGCCTGTTTCCAGGGCGGCGCCCCAACCCCCTTTGACCGGAACTACGGGACCAAGCTGGGGGTGAAGGCCATGCTTTGGCTGTCGGAGAAGCTGCGTGAGGTTTACCGCAAGGGTAGGTGGTGGGTGCGACCTGAGGCCTCACTTCGCCCTCCCCTGGCTCCCTGGGGCAGGGCCCGGCCTTGGAGGGCTCCCACGTGCCTCTGTTTGCAGGACGGGTGTTCGCCAATGCCCCAGACTCGGCCTGCGTGATCGGCCTGAAGAAGAAGGCGGTGGCCTTCAGCCCCGTCACTGAGCTCAAGAAAGACACTGATTTCGAGTGAGTTCCACTGAAGCCTCGTGGAGGCGCGTGGGGCTGAGGGGTGGCCCAGACTGTCCCCCAGGCAGGTGTGCCAGGCCCCGCCCCGCTCGCACCCTGACCCTGCAAGTCCTCCTGGGCCCCCATGCCCCGGTCCCCGCCAGGCCATGGAGAGCAGGGACCATGCCCAAGTCTTCTGAGCGTGACACTGGGCAATGCTTTTGGGTGGGCATGGGGGCACAGCGTGGCAGCCAGGATTGGGCACGCCCGAGGGCGGCTGTGGCTGACTGTGCTGTGCCTCCGAGGGATGGGGACCCCAGACCCGTCCCAGAGGCCGCAGGGCTCCATGGATATCGAGATGTTCAGAGGGAGGGGCATGCACAGGCCGCCGGGTTGGGAGGTGGGGGGGGTTGGGGGCATGGCCTGAAGAGCTGCCCTGACCCCTGACTCCCCATCATTCCCCCATCCCCGTCCCGCACAGGCACCGCATGCCGCGGGAGCAGTGGTGGCTGAGCCTGCGGCTCATGCTGAAGATGCTGGCACAGTACCGTATCAGCATGGCTGCTTACGTGTCAGGGGAGCTGGAGCACGTGACCCGTCGCACCCTGAGCATGGACAAGGGCTTCTGAGGCCATGCCCACGCCCCTCCCCAGCCCGCACCCATGCCAGCTGCAGCGCCAGGGCTCAGATGGGGCCTGGGCTGTTGTGTCTGGAGCCTGCAGACAGGTGGGGGCTGTGTCCTTGCTCAGCCCAGCCCCTGCCTCTATCCCTGGCCACCTGCCAGGCCTCCTTGGGGCTGGTCTTGAGACCAGCCTGCCAGGCCCTGCAGCAGGAGGACAGAGCGTCCTGGGGCATCCACCTTCCTGCCCAGGGGACGTGGGGCTGTCGGTGTTTGCAGGCCGATGTCCCCTGGCTTTGGCGCCCCATGGGCCCCAGCCTCTCCCCACTCTGGGCTCACTCACAGGGGCCAGCCCTCGCCCTACCCGGCCTGTAGGCTGCCGGTGCCTGGGTTGTGTTGAGAGGGGGATGGCCTTGGCCCTGCCTCACTGTGACCTGCTCCTGCCCACGTGCAGCACCTGTCACCTTTTCTAGAAATAAATCACCCTGACCGTGGGGTGCATCGGTCTCTGGAGAGCACAGCCTGCGGAACTCTTGGAGGGAGAGAGGGAGAGGAGCAGCACCACATGGCCAGCCCGGTGGGCAGCGGCCCCCAGGGGTGGAGGGCCCTCTGGCCAGTGCCTGGGCCAGGCCAAAGGGACATGTGCCCTGGGAGGCCACAGGCGCTCTCCAGGACTCCCTGGGGGCCACCAAGGTGACCTGAGCCCCCTCCTGGTCCTCCCCTGGGGGTAGAAGGGTACAGTCTCACTCCTCTGTCTCCCCAACCTCAGCCTGAATGGGGGTCTCCAACCTGCAGGCTGGTGGCTGGCTTGAGCCAGCATCCAGGAGACACCAATGGTGGACACGTGAGAGGGGAAGAGAAGGCGGCACAAAGCTGCGCCCACCAGGGGCTAGGGCTGAGTCCCGCAGGTGGTTTGGGGTGGTGGACGCCCTGCTCGCAGGATGCCCGTTAACCTTGGCGTGGAAGCCCATGCTCTGCACCACCCGCGGCTCTGCACCACCCGTGGCTCTGCACCACCCACGGTTCTGCAGCACCAACGTGGCAGGTGCTTGCCGAGAGGGCTGCTTCCTTCCCGCAGTGCCACCCTGCGGATGTGGTTTTGGGACACACGTGTCTCAAGGGAGACCCTGGCTTGGAGGGGCCTAAAGGCCACATTGAGGGTCCCTGGGCAGTCTCCTGGTTGAGCTCAGGCCAGAGGGGTGGCTCTGGGGACCTGGTGAGGAGGCTGGGGACCTTCCTGCCCTCAGGCACCTTGATATTCCCAAGAGCCCCTCGCTGTGTTGGCCCTAGTGCCAGAGACCTCCAGATTGCTTAACTCTGGAGCTGGGGTGGAGGGGCCCACACCTAGGGGCCTTCTAGTTCATTCTGAGTGGGGCCGTCCTGGGGCCAGGCCCAGGAGGGGACAGTTGTCCAAGGACAGTGCTCCCGGGTCTGCAACTCTGTCTCAAAGGAACAGAGAAACAGGTTCACAGGCCCGGGGAACCACGTGCATGTTTTGGGGGGCTCCGTTGTGTCACACCATCTGGGATCAGGACTCAGTTCTGAGTAGACCCCCCTTGGCCTGCCCTGCCTGATGAGGTGTTAGAACCTGTTCAGCTGCTGTACCCAGGTGGTGGCCTGTGGTGATGTCCGGGACAGTGGCTGCCTCCCTCCTGGGCGACGTGCCGTGGCCAGCACCTGCCACAGGCCCACTTCTGGCTGCATGGAGGTGGCGTTTCCGGCATTTCGGGCGGAGTGATGCGGCCTCCTGGGCCCTTGGTCCTCTCCTGTGAACTGGGTGAATGGGACACAGTGTGATGCCCGTGCCTGCTCGGCTTGAGAATCCACTTCTGGGGTGACTTGGGGAGCAGTGGAGTGGGACTGTGGGGTGCCCCAGGCTGGACGTGCTTCTGGCCATCTTCCATGGCTGGGGGCATTGGGTGAGGAGGCGACAGGAGGGGGAGCGACAGGAGGCTGAGGGTGGAGGCAGCAATGGTGGGGATGGGGACGGGTGGGGGGAACCGTGGGGCTGAAGGCAGGCAGCTGCCCCCACGGTCCCACCCAACTGTCCCAACCAACATGTGCACGGTGTGGGGCAGGAGGGCACCGGTGTAAGCCCCGCATGCCCACAGCAGCCCACGTCAGGGGGAGTGGAAGGGGACTCAATTTAAAATGACCTCAGTCATTCCAAGGAAGCACTTGACTGAGGGCGCCGGGTGCCCATCCCACAGTACCAGGGAGGCAGACACAGGCCTGAACTGTCCACCCTCCATGTCCCAAGTAGTGACTCCACTCCCCACGGCTCAGAGATCACACCCCTTCTGGAGGGATCGCACCTCTTGTGGAGAGCTTGCACGGATGAGTGACTGACTTCACCCTGGGCTTCCCCAAGTCCAGTGACAGTGACTGCCCCAGTGCTGCCGCTGGCTCTGGTGACGATCACACTGCATGGCCTTGAGCTTGGGAGAGCAGTGGCCTGCACACGTGGGCACGCATCACCGCTTGGCGGAGGATGGGCACATCTCACGGAGATCTGGGTCCCAACCCCACACAGGACAAGGGCCCAGGGAGCTGGCTTTCCTACACACCAGCTGGAAGGCTGACTCCCCATCTCACGTGAATGTTTCCTTGGTTTTGGGGGTACTAGGAAGGTCCCCAGGGCCGCGGGTCACTGCCCAGATTGTGGCATCCTCGTAAGACTTTAACTTCCCAGAGGAAAGAAAACCCCTCTCAGATGCTCCAAGGACTCCCCTAGTCCAGCTGCTTCCTGTGCCAGGCCCAGACCCCAGAGCAAACAGGCCTGTTCATCCACAGCCTCCCAGCTGAGGCCCCTGCAGTTCTTCACAGAAGAGGGAAGGGAAGGCGCACCTGCCCAACCTGGCCAAGAAAACAAAACCCTCTCCCGTGGATGTGGGAGGCTGCTGCCTTCCTGCGGAGAGCAGCTCAGGGCAGATGTCCCTGTGGACACCGGCATTCTGGAAGTCTCCCTTGCTCAACGGAAATCTATCCAAGGACCAAGGGCTGGAATCAGCAAAGCCATTCGTGAATACCTCCTCATTCTGCCGAGAAACGGCCCTTGCTTTCAGAAAGACTGTCACGACCATTGGGAAATGTCACCTCCAGATCAACCTTGGGAAAATCTTTTATTAGGGAGGACAGCCTGCAAAATCCTCCCTTTAAGAGCCCAGGCCAGCCCAGAACCTCCAGACCACAGAGGGGGAGTCCTGGGGACATTGTGGTGTGGACAGGCATCTCCACCGCTCCAGCTAGCCAGCACTTAATACCCACTGCTGCTCTCGGCCGATGCGGCAAACCGGAGAGGCTTTTGTGTGGGGCCAGGGCTGTGGCAGCCACCCTTCAGCTCCTGGGGGCTGGGGAAGACACTGGGGTCCCCGTGGATGGTGGAGCGGCGCTCAGGTCCTGTGGTCACTCGGCGTGCTCCTGCACCTCCTCCTGACGCAGGGCCTGCAGCCGGCTGCCCACAGTCAGCTGCACGGCCTCCAGCCCCTCTGCGTCCAGCTCCCGCAGCAGCAGCAGGATGGCAGTCAGGACGTTCTGGGGCAGAGAGGGGTGCGGACTAAGCCCACCAAGCACTGTGAGGCTGCTTCCCTCCACAAGGGCTGGGGGCTGGCCAGCGGCACCCCACCACAGAGCGCCTGGTCCCGGGGCGTGGGCCGTCCAAGCAAATGACCATTCGGCACATACCGAGAATCTGAGCAGAGGAGGAGCCCTGCCCGTGAACACACGTGTGACGCTTCTTCCACGGGACTCCTGTTGCCCTCAGCCCAGCAGGGCCTGGACAGCTCCGTGCGGGGCACGTGTGACACGTCTGTGCGCGTTCGCGGACCCACACACGCAGCTTCCCCCTGGGGCGCAGCTCTTCGAGGCCCTGTGAGGCTCCATCCTCCCTCCCCATGATTTCTGTGCAGTGGGCAGAGGCAGCAGTGGCCGCCTAGCAGCCCCCGTCACTCACCCTGCTCCTGTGGCTGCTCGAAGCATCCCTGGGTGAGAAGGAAGGAAACGGGTCCCGGGAAGGGGGCTTCAGGGCAAGTTCACCCTGGGCGCTGCTGGTGAGAGGGAGACAAAGGTGTGTGAGGGTCAGGGAGCTCGTGGCACTGGAGGCCTCTGCAAACCCTGTCTGCAGGTCACCTCCAAGCAAAGGACAAGCGCATACAAATCCCACCTGGCACATGGGGGGAAGAGAAGGGAGGTGACTCTCATGAGGTCAGGGGCTACAGATGGCAGCTCCTGGACAGCCCAGCACTTACTTCACCTGTGGGGCGTCCTCCCTGAACCCTGGGGCTCCCCAGCTGTAATACCTTCCACTGGGGCCTCGGGGGCAGGGTGGGGGGCACCTGTACACAAACGCCAGGGAAGAGCTCCTGACCATGGGGTCAAGCCCTGTGCCAGACAGCAGATGCCCAACGGAGATCACATCCCAATGCCCCTGCCACAGGCACCAGCAGTGGGTGTGATCTGCCAAGCAGGAGAGAAGTGCCCAGCTTCTATCACACACGTTTGTGACGCACAGCCAACTGCCCTGGGAGGCACTGGAATCTCACTGCAGAGTCAGCCCTGTGGCCCCTCCACGGCCCCTGGGCCCAAGGCTGTACAGGCACTGATGGCTGTGCCCACAAACCATTCCAGTGACTGTGGCCCTGGGCCACACCCCCCACCAGGGGCTCCCTGCACCTCACAAGCTCCGGTGCCGTGAGCCTTCTCTGTGCCAGGGCACGGGGCCTGGCTCACCCCCCCTCCTGCTCCCTGGAACATCCGCTGTTGGGCAAAACATGGACCTGCCACTGAAATCACTACCTGGGCACTGAGTCACTCCCAGAGAATACGGATGAGAACGGACACTCGCCCCGGATAATCCCTCTCCCTCACTTCCCAGAGAGGCAGCTCACTGGAAACCCCATTCGCTCCCCGTGGGAGGACCCTGGGGGCCAGGGATGGGCGGAGGCCCCGCTGCCCTCCAGCCTCACATTGCCTCCTCCTCGCTGTCCAGCGGGTCCCGGCCGGTCTCAGCAGCGGAGCTGAGGGAGCTCAGTGTGAAGCATGGCTTGGGGCTGCCGTGGCCTGTGCCCTCTCTCTCCGGGGCGGCGGTGATCTCCTCTCCCTCGCTCAGTGCACGGGACAGCTCCTCCTCCGTCACAGCTTCGGGATGAAGGACAGAACACAGCATGAGTGGCCTCACCCACATGCAGGCCACACGCGCTGCAGCTCCCGTCCTCACTGCAGCCTCAGGCACAGTCTGCTTGTGAAATGCATGCACGTGTATCCACCTCCAGGGCCAGCTCCCAGAATAGGAGCCAATCCGCAGCCCGGCACAGGCCGATACACAACAGATGGTAGACGGCTGCTCAGGAATCTAAACACCAGCCTTGGCCAGAAGCAAATACTCATCAGAACCTCAACTAAGACACAACAGAAAAAGGAACAGACCATACTGAATTTATTCCATTTCACTCACATATCAATTTCCCTGAAGTTACTAATATTAATAAAATTCTCTGGGAGACAATATTAGTGCCCGTATAGCTGATAAGGATGAGAAACTAGCATGCTGAGAATGCCAAGGATTAACAAACAGCATGAAACCGCGGCCTGGAAAACTGCACTGGTGCTGGCGCTGGCCAGAGGAGGCATGAGCGCCTCCAATAGGTGGAGCGCAGCAGCGGGCACTGCGGTGCTGGGACAGCCCCTCCCCACGGCGGGAACACGACGGCACAGCCACCCGAGGGTCACAGTGGCCCGTGGAGCCTGCCCAGTCCCTGTGGACCAGTGCAACGCTGCTTGCCAGATCCTGACGCCCCGCTCGCTATGGCGCCTGGCACTGGTCAGAGCAGCACTGCTCCTCACAGAAGCAAAAGAAGGAACCCTTTTGCTTTGCTACCAGGTCCTGCAGTCGCTGGGGGATACACAAACTGTCACAGTCACAGGAGGGACCCTATGCTGCGCTGCTGCATTCAGGTGGTGGGATCAAGAGACAGAAGCAGGGGAAGGGCCTCTGGAGGAGACTTCACAGGGCACATCTGTGTCCCGCCAGACCAGGCACTTGCAGAAAAGGAGAAGAGAAAAGAGGGCTGGGGAAATGCCCTGCCAGGGATTATTTTGTGAGGGCCGGTGACCCCGCTGCGGCCACCTACCCTGGTTGTCCAGCTTCTGTAGGCGCGGCAGGGTGCGCAGCACGGTCATGCGGTAGCGGTGGGGGCTGGTGCCGCAGCACGGGTTCTCTGCCAGCCACAGCACCCTCAGACGCGGCAGCCCCTTCAGGTAGAAGAGCTCAGCCAGGCTGGGGATACGGTTCCTCCGCAGGTACAGCTCGCTCAGGCGCTGGCACCGGCTCACAGGCTCCAGGGTGGAGATGCTGTTGACACTGCACGGAGACCAGCAGTCAGTGAGGGACGTGGACGGGGCCCCCAGGGCCACCTCTCAATCTCGAGCCCCAAGAACAGGCACTCACGGGATCTGTGTCCCTGCCCTCACCTGAGAAGCCCAAATTGGATGTCGTGAGTCATGTGAAGCAGGACCTGGGCCGAGGAGAGAGCTATAGGAAGGCCAGGTCCTGAACTCAAAGGCGGACTGGGGTGGACCCTGCCAGCAACAGCCCCTTGGCCCCATGCTCCACATCAGCTCTTCAGGGCGCTAGAGTGGGAGGTGCGGGATGTGGCCCTCCTTCACGGGCCAGGAAAACTAAGGCCTCTCAAGGGACATATCATGTTGCGCCAAAGCACGGAGTGCCCAGAAAAACTCATGGCAAAAAACACAAGCCAGCTCCATGTGACATAGAAGTGAGCACGGACCTTCCAAACCCCCACGTGAAAGCGACAACACTGGGGATGGGCCTCATTTCCATTCTACAGAACGTGGACGCGTCAGAGAAGTAGAGAAACACAGGAGGCCTGGAGCGGCGACCTAAAGGCTTCACCTGACAGTGTGGGGTCTGTTCCTTCCACAAGTGAACACGTGGAGGCGCTCTCGCAGGCCCTCAAAGGTGCGGAGTGTCCGCCAGCCAAGAGCCAAGGCTCCCTGCCTGGAGGGTTGCACTCAAGTCCCGCAGGCGCCTGGGAAGGGGGTGGTCACCAGGCTGGTGCTGAGCCCACCTCCCCATGCCACCCGTTCACTGGGTGTTTCCCAGGTATCCTTTCACGCAGCTCCTAGCTATGAGGCCGCCCCATTTTACCAAGAGGAAAACTCAGGCTGTGGGACCCTTTCCAGGATGGAGTCTGATTCCTGGCACAGGCAGCAGCGTGGTGTGCGGACCACACCCGCGGCCTCAAGCTACCTGTTCCGCTCCAGTTCAGTCGAGCCTGGTGTGCAGTCGGCGTGCAGGCACCACACACCTGAACTCAGTGAACACCCTCCGGGTCCTGTCCTTCCTGAGACGACAGAAATGGCCCCGCACATGAGAGGCCTGATGCTCGGAGGCCCTGCGGCCCCTGGGCAACTCAATGCACTGCGGGCATAGGGCTGGATCCACAGCCCCGCCCCAAGCTTCCTGCCATCGTGGGAACCACAAGCTCCACCTTTCCCTGTCAGGTAAGGCTTTTGGAGGCAGAGCTGAAATCCCAGCCTCACCGTAAACGTCGCCTGACTAGTGAAACGAGCCCCGTGGCAGGCATGGACACCCCTGTTCAACCTCTGGACTCAGGCTCCATCTCCTCCTCGTCTCCCTGTGGGGTGGGCACTTATAATGCCTCTATGTTACAGGAAGGAAACTGAGGCACAGAGAGGGCCACGCCTTGCCCGAGGTTAGCCAGCTGATGGGTGGGAGGGCTGAGATTTGGCCCAGGAGCATGCCTCCAAGCCCATTTCATTCATCGGTTCATTCAGCAAGACTCGGGCAGGACAGGCTGATGCCCGCGCTGGGGATGCCTGAATACCACATGGACTGGCCTCAACCCCTGGCGGGCAGCAGGCTGGGCGCTGGCCAACCTCGGAGGGTGTTACAGAGGATGGGCAGGGGCTGGCCTAGCCTGTGGCTGCCTGTGAAATCAAGAAGGTAGGTCACAGGGACCAGGGGCCTGCAACAGCTACTCTCAGAGGGCAAGCCCTGGAGCCTTCCGAGCTGCCAAACAGAAGGGTGGGCCTTCCCCACAGGGTTTAAACCCTTGTGAGCTTTTAAATGCGGAAACCCAGAGAAGGCTCCCACCCAGCGTCTGGTGGGCAGCGGTGAGCCATGAGCGTCCGCTCCCTCCCTGGGTCACACAGTAGGCAGGAGGGAATTCAGGGATAAAGGAAGCTCTTCTCTTCCCCAGAGCCCCCAAATACGCCCCAGCTGCCTAAAAGTCCAGTAACATTTGTTCATTCAAGGTTCCCTTAGTCTGTTGGGAGGGCAGTGACCACAGTAGAGGGGCACAGGTCATGGGGTGCAGAGAAACTAGTGAGCAGTGGTGGCACTGGGGGGAGAAAAGGCCAGGACCCTGGGGGTCTCGGGGCAGATGTGGCCACCGTGAGGGTGGCCAGGGCAGGCCACTGTGCATCCTTAGGCGGGCTCCACCACCGACTGGCCCAGTGAACACAGCGATGGCTTATCGGAGCACACAGGCCAAGGGTGGGCAGGGGTACAGCGGGGCAGGCAGGGAACAGGAGCTATCAGGAGGCCCAGGTGAGGCTCTGAGGAAGGAGGGCGGACATGGGGCCATGGAGTAGACCCAGCTCTCGCTGTCCCGGCCCCTCCCCTTCTGGAAGCCACCCTCAGTCTGTGCTGGAAGTTTCTACATTATCTCACAGCACTGGGTCCCACGGGAGGGACGTGAGGCTCTGCCCCAGCTTCCAGGCCCCAGGCTGAGCATGACGGCAGGAGCGAGGTACCTGAGCGTGATCACCTCCAGGCTGGGCATCTCCCGGCAAATGGAAATCTAGGAGGAAAAGAGCATGACTAGCAAGCACGACCCAGCAGGGCATCACGGCCGCACTGCCGTCAGCCACAGAGAACTGTCGCAGCCATGGCCAACCCACTTCCCAGGCCTGAGGGGCACAGCCCTGCTCAGCCAGTGTGCCCAGGGTGAATGCCCACGAGCATGCCAGGCTCCCCTGATGCCACCTTGCAGCCCAGACACCCCACAGACTGAAGGAGAAATGTGAGGCTCCTCCTTTCACGCACTCTCTCTTTATTACATTTTACAACAGCATCGTTGCTGTCAGATGCTGCCAGCAGTGGAGACAGAGCACTCATTACTTTAGATGTCCTCAAAGGACATCAGGTAAGGGGACCCCAGTGTCTCCTATGCAGGGACAGAAAGCAAGGAAAGGATGGAAATCCCTTCTTGATAACAGGTCTGGGCCAAAAGGAAGACAGGCTTAAAGCTGGATCTCAGATCACATTGGTACTGTCAATTCAGGGGTGAGGTGCCCAGGGTGGTCCACAAAGCCTTCACAACCTGCAAAGCTCCCACATATGTGAGAGCCCACCATACGCCAGGCATGGCACCAGCAGATTGGGTGACTGGCAGGGCCCCAACCTCAGCGAACTCACAGCCTGGTGAGATGCATCCCATGTATAAGTGACTCGTGTCTACGACCATGGTGTGTTTATAAAGTCACTGCTAAACATGCAGTATTTCAGTTACAGCACAAAACAGATTACATCCAGGTGCCATGTGTCCAGGCTTTTTTTTTTTTTTTTTTGTCTTTAAGGAAAGGTACAGTTCAAATTTAAAAAACAGAGAATAAAGAGATAAATAATAATTGGGCTGGACATGGTGGTTCACGCCTGTAATTCCAACACTTTGGTAGGCTGAGGCAGGTGGATCACCTGAACTCAGGGGCTTCGAGACCAGCCTGGCCGACACAGTGAAACCCCATCTCTACCAAAAAGTACAAATATTAGCCAGGCATGGTGGTGGGCGCCTGTAGTCCCAGCTACTCAAAGGCTGAGGCAGGAGAATCGCTTGAACCTGGGAGGTGGAGGTTGTAGTGAGCCAAGATCGCGCCACTGCACTCCAGCCTAGGCCACAGAGCGAGACTCCGTGTCAAAAAAAAAAAAAAAAAAAAAAAACGGAAAGAAAGAAACAAACAATTGGTATGCAATCCTTGTGTAAGTTGGAAGTTGGGGACATTTTGGACTGAGAAAGAGAATGAGGGAAGAGAAGAAAGAAATCTTTTCACAGACGCACACGCTCAAGTTCTCCCAGCAGGGCTTGTTCTCTGCCGCCTTTGGGGTAGCGATGGGGGGCACAAGGCTAGATGTGACCAAGAAGAGGGGGTGCAGACCTTCAACTTCCCCTTAACAAAGTAAAACAAACCCTCCTGGGATTCCTTTCCAGGTGAGAGCAAGTTCCAAACCATTGCTCCCCTCCTCTGTGGCCAAGTGACAAACAGCGTTTCATTTATGTTGACGGGAACAGCAAAATCAGCCTGGCACCGGAGAATTGTTTTTCCATTAGCGGTTCTGCATAACGAAACCCGCTAAGAGAACAAAGTACCAAGTGTGGGACTGAACTGATGGGGGCAGTTTTGTCAACTTAAAAATTCTCTTATGCCGGGCACGGTGGCTCAAGCCTGTAATCCCAGCACTTTAGGAGGCCGAGACGGGCGGATCACGAGGTCAAGAGATTGAGACCATCCTGGCTAACACGGTGAAACCCCGTCTCTACTAAAAATACAAAAAACTAGCCGGGCGAGGTGGCGGGCGCCTGTAGTCCCAGCTACTCGGGAGGCTGAGGCAGGAGAATGGCGTGAACCCGGGAGGCGGAGCTTGCAGTGAGCTGAGATCCGGCCACTGCACTCCAGCCCCGGCTACAGAGCAAGACTCCGTCTCAAAAAAAAAAAAAAAAAAAAAAAAAATTCTCTTGGGGAAGAAGCTACAACATTTGGGACTGAGGCCATTTGGAGATGATCAACGCAATACTTACATCTGTGAGGCGGCTGCCCCTGGGGAGAGAAAAGATACTTTAATTTTGTTAAAGTTGAATAAAAAACACTGAAGACAAAAATTCCAAAAATTACCGATGACTCCCTACAAACCTTAAGATTCTAGGATTTTAATGGCATGGCAAAAAAGGAAGGTTGCCCAGATAACCGGCAAAGGTGTAAACAATTGTTTTACTTGATTTTCAACTACACTGTATGACGTTGGGGCGGTACCTTTTACATAAGGAGCAGCAGAGCCATTTGTAAGACACGACAAGATGAACTGTTCCTCATGGTCCTTAAATAGCAGAAGGTTAATTTCTCTCACTGACAGACATCAACAAGGGCATCTTTATAAGAGGCTAAGTTCAAAGGGTGAACAGGCAACTTATGAAGCAAACTTTAAAAGCCTGAAATCGGGTTGTTGTTTCTTCCAGCTTAGTGAGAGTACTGACTACCCCGTGCAAAACAAAGAAATGCATTATTGAAAGCAAATGACACAGGGGAATTGTAGCCAAAACACCAGATGTGCCGGGGCAGACAGAAAAGCTTTTTAATTAACAGGGAAGAGCTCGCTCTGGGCAGTATGGGGATACCCCTGGGAGGAAGCGTCTGCTCTGGCTGACCCCCACGCCCGCCTGCACGGTGCGGCCAGTTGACAGGGCGCAGCGACTCCGCTGAGTCCCCAGGGATCCCTGGAGATCGTGCGGGCCTCAACTCCAGGCTGCCTCCTCTGGAAGCTCCTGGTCTTCCTTGGCCCAGTGAGACGGAGCCTTTGAGCCTTCATGGGTCCCACCGCACCCACGTCCCTTCCTATCACCTGCCAGGAGTACCCTTGGCACGGCCGCCCCCAGTACTGATTACCAACGTGTTTCCTGACTCAGTCCTCGAGAGCTCAGTTCTCTCTCCTATTCGACTTGGTCCCAGTGACTGCTGGCAACCCCAGACATCAGATCTGGCCCACAGGGCAGCCGGGGCAAAGGCGGGCCGGGAAAGGGGGGGCCCCGGCGACCCCGACCCGTGGTCTCCTCTCCTCCCCTCCCTGACCCCTGACTCCTTCGCCGCCCTGGCCCCTGCACCTGCCCCCGTTCCACCCCCCCGCCCCCGGCCCCGCCCTCACCCCAGTCCCCGCCCAGTCCCCGCCCCCTCCCCAGCTCCTCCCCCGGCCCCGGGGCGGCCGCGGCCAGGCCCCGCCTCACCAGCAGTTGAGCTTGCGCACGCTGTGTAGCTCCGAGGCCTTGGCCCGGGTCAGGACCATCTTCCGCGTCAGCTTCATGGCGACCGCCCAGGCCCGGCCGGCCGGCGCCCCCGGCCTCCTGCTCCCGGGCGGGTGACGACTGCGCGGCGCGTGTCTCCAGGGGCGGGGCCCACGTCGTCAGGGGCGGATCCTGAGCCCATTGGCGGCTTGGCGAGGAGAGTGCCCTGGGGCCGCTTGGGCGCCGCTGACACGTTGGCTCTGCTCCTGCGCATGGGCGGCCTGGGGCGCCCGGCTCTGACGCGATTCTAACGCGACCCCGGAAGCGCGCGGCGAGCCGTGGGTGGGTGCCGGTGGCGGTCCCGGAGGCGGCCTTGTGAGGGCTGAGCTGCCGCTCCCAGGAACCGAGCGGGGTGAGCTCGATCCCACGCACACCATGGCCCTGTGCCTAGGCCTGTCTCCGAGCGCGGGCCTAGCGTGGATGGGATGGGCGCTACACAGCTCCAAGTTACGCGATTCAAACTCTTGGAATAAACCCAGGGCAGCCCTGGGGCTGTGTTGATTCCCTGTCTCGCTCCCTCCCAGCATTTACAGAAAAGATGCGTTTATAGGAAAGACGTACGGGCAGGTCCAGCAGAGCCCTTACAAGCATTTCAGCCTTTTAGAAATCAGGTAAGACCCCCTAAACATCGTTACATGGGCCACAGTTACATTAAGACGGGCATTCTGAAACCGCGTTTGCCAAAAGTTGTATCAGTGAGAGAATGATGGCCCTGAAGGAGATCTGGCCAATCCCCATCTTTCCTTTGTCCTTGAAGCGGCCCTTAATTATTCCTGGATAAGCAAAGCTAATTTTGGGAGATATTTATAGTTTAAATGATAGCAACCCTTCCTCAAAACTAAACAGCCTTTGTAAAGCTAATGAGACCACGGAAACCGCCTTTGCAAAAATCGTAACTGAAAAAATTATGACAGGGAAAGATCTCCTAACCCACCCCATCTTCCTGCTATCCTCTAAACTGCCTTTGTTCATTGGTGGGTGTAGACCAGACTAGCCTTGGGAAGGAATTTAGTTTATAGATTAAACTCTGAAACAAAATTGATAATAGCCCTTTCCCAAAAAAACCCTTCTTGCCTGGGGACCAGTCTGCCTTTGTAGGACTAACAAATTAAGCTATGAGATGAAAAATTACAGTTTAGGGGCCGTGCAACCTCTGGCGGCAATAGTCTGAACCTCCCCAAATTGCTCCTGGGAATAACATCACTGTTGCAAAACTTAAGATCAGTGCTTGAAATGTTTTGTAGACCCTGCGTTCAGACACCACTTAGACAGAAAATCTGGCTCAACCATTTGTGCGATCCCACCCAGGAACAGAAGTCAGCCAGAACTCATTTCGAACCCCTATGATTTAATGTTCAACCTGACCAATCAGTACTCACCACTTTCTGAGCCCTACCCGCCAAATTATCCTTAAAAACGCTGATCCCTGTGTAGGAACCTAGTTTTTAGATTCCTTCCTGGGCAGGGGTCGTCGCGAGAGACCACTCGACACGGAAGTCACAGCGGAGAGATTTATTGCTAGCGCGCTAGGGTCCTATGTCCGAAGTTGGCCACAGGACCCCGAATGCCTAGTACAGACAGTTTATAACGGCAAAAACCACAGAAACTCACAAAGCTTGAGGCGCAAGATGATTGGAGCAGGTTATGGCCTGAGCAGGGTGTCTTACTCTGATTAGTTGGTTTGAACCCGCGCGGGGTATTTCTCAGACTATTTTTTCTGTTTGAGTTCCGGGAATTTTGGGTGGGTGTTCTGGATAGCCACATGGATGTTGGGTGGGTGCCTTAGATGGCCACCTGGTCATTGGGCGGGTGCTTTAGAGCCTGGTGTGGCTTTTCTAAGCTTTCTAAGTTTCTAAGTCTCTAAGTCTCCAAGTTTCTAAGTCTATAAGTTTCTAAGTCTCTAAGTTTCTAAGTCTCTAAGTTTCTAAGTCTGTGAGTTTCTAAGTTTTTGTGGCCTGTTTTCACCTGAATGCTGGGGGAGACTGATTTGAGTCATAAAACTCCATTCCTGCACAGCCAGCTCTGCGTGAATTACTCCTTCTCCACTGCAATTCCCTTGTCTTGATAAATCGGTTCTGTCTAGGCAGTGGACAAGGTGAACCCATTGGGCACTTACACCACCAGGCTAGAAGGATAGAGGAGCCTGAATTCCACTAAGGTGCAGGCGTAAACTTTCGTCAGCCATTATTCTGGAGGTCACAAGACAAGCTACTTCCCCAATTACTCCTGCAGATAACATCACTATTGTAGAACATCACTATTGTATCTTTTCAGGTTTATTGCACGTCTGACATGGATGGACCCAGCTAGATGTCTTCCCAACGGCTCCTGTGGCCCCACCCAGAAGCCATGCAGCACAAAAGGACCAAAAGGACAGCTAGATTTCATCTCGCACCCCACCAATCAGCACTCCCCATACCTTAGCCCCCTGCTCACCAAAGTACCTTTGAAAAGCCCCTAACCTGTGAGCCTTCAGTTGTAACCGAGCAGCTTAGCAGCTGTGAATCCAAAATATCTGAGACAGGTCTCCATCAGTTTAGAAAGTTTATTCTGTCAAAGTTAAGGACGAGCCCATGACATGGCCTCAGGGGGTCCTGACAACACGTGCCCGAGGTGACTAGGGCACAGCTTGCTTTCAGACATTTTTAGGGAGACATGAGACATCAATCAATATGTGTAAGATGGAAAAAGAAGAGAAAAAGAAAAAATGTATGTATAAGATGTACATTAGTTCGGTGCAGAAACGCAGGACAACTTGAAGGCTGGGGGGGGGCAGGGGGAGCTTCCCGCTTCCAGGTCATCGGTAGATAAGAGACAAAAGATTGCATTCTTGGCCGGGCGCGGTGGCTCACACCTGTAATCCCAACACTTTTGGAGGCCGAGGCAGGTGGATCACAAGGTCAGCAGATGGAGACCATCCTGGCTAATACGGTAAAACCCCATCTCTACCAATAATAATAATAATAAAAATTAACTGGGCGTGGTGGCGGGCGCCTGTAGTCCCAGCTACTTGGGAGGTTGAGGCAGGAGAATGGTGTGAACCCAGGGGGTGGAGCTTGCAGTTAGCTGAGATTGCGCCTCTGCACTCCAGCCTGGGCGACGGGAGACAACGTCTCAAAAAAAAAAAAAAAAAAAAAAAAGAGCTTAGTCCTCAGGTTGGTATAAGATGTGGGATGACAGAAAAGTCTCAGAGCAGTGTCTTCTGAGCGCTTTGCCTCCGAGCAGGCAGAATGTTCAGTGCGAGCTGGACCCCAGCAGAGTGGTAGGGAGCTTCCAGCAGGCTCAGGCTGCAGGCGCTTGCGGGCGCACAGTGTGACGGCCACAGGCCTCAGCACTCTGGTGGGCTCACGAAGGCTCAGCTGGACCTACGTCACACTACGTCACAGCCTTGGCCCTCTGCCCAGCCCTGGGCCTCCCTTCTTTACAGGGGGTGAGTTAGGCACGCTGCTCCCCAATAAATTTCAGGGGGCCGCACACAGAGCCTGTTTCCCAGAGACATGGAGGGTGGGGGGACACGGGAGCTGCCTGTCTTTGAAGCAAGGCCACCACCGCTGTCACCAGGCACACGGGGCTGACACCCGCTTTGTGGTTTCAGCTAGTGGGTCAGGGTTTCTGGCTCGCAGCCGGGGGTACTGCTGAGGACAAGGTACCATGGATCAACCGCTGCTCCCTCCTGCCCTGACAGCTGGGGCTCTGCAGGGCTCAGCAGGGCAGGCTGACCCCCAACCCAGGGCAAATGCTATCCTGACACCTGGCGCTGAGTCCCAAGCAACCCAGGCCCCGTCCTTGTGTCTCCTTTCCTCCACCACCTTTGCCCCGTAGGTGACACCCCCAGTCCAGACCCCCTCCAGCCCGATGTCCTCGTCACCTGCGCTGCGTAACAAATCACCCCCAGACTTAGCAGCTCACAGTAGACGCTGCTGTCTCCCAGTTTCTGAGGCTCAGGCGTCTGGAGCAGCTGAGCTGTGTGGCTGGGCTGGGCCTCCTGGGAGGGAGGTGGGGCCCTCTCTGAGGACCTGGCTGGGGTCTCCCAGCTGCCCCACAAGGTGTCGGTGGTTGGCTTCGCTCTCTGCAACATGGCCTGTCACAACATGCCCTCCCTAGGAGTGAGGGATGAGCGGGGCCGGGAGAAGGGGAGAGGAGGAGAGAGACAAATGGAGAGTCAGCAAACGTGCTCCGGAGCTGAAGTTTTCATGATCTCAGAGCAACCACCTCTTCCCTGCCCATGCTGCTGGCCTCACCACCCACCTGGCACCACTTGGGGGCAGAATCTGGTCCACTCCACAACATGTCCCTCAGGCAAACTATGGAACTGCTTGGGTGGCAGGTGTGGCGCACCCCTCCCAGATCCCCTTGGGAACTCCAGACTTCTCCCTTGGCCTCAGGAGCCAGTGCAGTGGGTAGCCTGCCTGACCCCTGGCTGACCGAGGACCCCCGGCTGGTGCTGCAGATGGTTCAGATTCCTGTGGCAGGTCAGAGCCAGGCCTAGGCGAAGGGACAGGCAGCGCGTGTTGCTTTATAATTTTTCAGTGTCCTGAGAGGTCTTCAGGCCTTGTGGTCATTGCTGCTCTGGGAGCCGTCGGGGCAAGGGTGCCAGCATGGAGGGTTCATGGTGGCCACGCTGGCTGCAGTCTTCACCCTGGAGTGACATCCATCACTGTCCTTTCACATTTTAAGAGCAGTTCTGTTGTATAAGATGTTTCCGGAATGCAGATGACTCTGTGGACTCCAGAGATAAAAAGAAACATGTCTGTTCCCTCAGCCTGAAGCCCACTGCTCTAGACCAGGTGTCCGCAAACTGCAGCCCGCTGGCCAGATTGGGCCTACCACCTGTTTGCAAATAAAGGTTAAGTGATTCTCCTCCCTCAGGCTCCTGAGTAGCTAGGACTACAGGTGTCAGGCCTCTGAGCCCAAGCTAAGCCGTCATATCCCCTATGATCTGCATGTGTACATCCAGATGCCCTGAAGTAACTGAAGAATCACAAAAGGAGTGAAAATGGCCGATTCCTGCCTTAACTGATGACATTACCTTGTGAAATTCCTTCTCCTGGCTCAGAAGCTCCCCCACTGAGCACCTTGTGACCCCCGCCCCTGCCCGCAAGAGAACAACCCCTTTGACTGTAATTTTCCTTTACCTACCCAAATCCTATAAGACAGCCCCACCCCATCTCCCTTCGCTGACTATTTGCACCCAGTGTGCAA